AGCCTCCTACGCCCCACCCGCCCACGGACACGTTTCCCAGCCCCCCGTGTCCCACCCGCCCACGGACACGTTTCCCAGCTCCCAGTGTCACTGTCCAGCCCAGCCCCCCCGTGTCCCACCCACCCATGGACACGTTTTCCAGCGCTCTGGGCAGGCCCTGAGCTCTTTCCTCCATTTCAGGGATTCACACAGGCCAGGTCCACATTCACTGTTCTCTGAGCGACCAGGCCCCCGTGGCCCCGCGGTTCCAGTTCGCCTACGACGGGCAGGACCTCATCAGCTTCGACAACCAGACGGGGACGTGGGTGGCGGACGTGCCCGTGGCCTCACAGCTGAAGCAGATCTGGGAGAAGGAATCGACGTGGACTCAGTACGTCCAGTTTTTCATGCGGGACGACTGCCTGCAGACCCTGCGGAGCCTGGTGCAGCTGAGACAGTGGGTCCTACTGTCGCCGGGTGAGTGCGCAGCGGGGATCTGTCGTGGCGGTGAGCGAAGGGGAAGTGTGGTCTAGTGGGTAGTTCATGGCCATAGGCATGGGAAGTATGGTGCAGGGGGTGCTGCAGCCAGGGATGTGAATGACTCGTAAGAACGGCCGTACTGGGTCAAACCAAAGGTCCATGCAGCCCAGTGCCCTGTCTGCCGACAGCGGCCAATGGCAGGTGCCCCAGAGGGAGTGAACAGAACAGGTAATGATCAAGCGATCTCTCTCCTGCCATCCATGTCCATCCTCTGACAAACAGAGACTAGGGACACCATTCCTCACCCAGCCTGGCTAATAGCCATTAATGGACTTAACATCCATGAATTTATCTAGTTCTCTTTTAAACCCTGTTGTAGTCCTAGCCTTCACAACCTCCTCAGGCAAGGAGTTCCACAGGTTGTCTGTGCGCTGTGTGAAGAAGAACTTTTATTTGTTTTAAACCTGCTGCCCATTAGTTTCATTTGGTGTCCTCTACTTCTTATATTATGGGAACAAGTAATTAACTTTTCCTTATTCATTTTCTCCACACCACTCATGATTTTATAGACCTCTATCATATCCCCCCTCAGGCTCCTCTTTTCTAAACTGAAAAGTCCCAGTCGCTTTAACCTCTCCTCATATGGGACCTGTTCCAAACCCCTAATCATTTTAGTTGCCCTTCTCTGAACCCTTTTCCAATGCCAGAATATCTTTTTTGAGGTGAGACCACCACATCTGTACACAGTATTCAAGATGTGGGCGTACCATGGATTTATAGAAGGGCAATGAGATATTCTCCATCTTATTCTCTATCCCTTTTTTAATGATTCCTAACATCCTGTTTGCTTTTTTGACTGCCGCTGCGTGGACGTCTTCAGAGAACTAGCCACGATAACTCCAAGATCTCTTTCCTGATTAGTTGTAGCTAAATTAGCCCCCTGTCATATTATATGTGTAGTTGGGGTTATTTTTCCCAATGTGCATTACTTTACATTTGTCCACATTACATTTCATTTGCCATTTTGTTGCCCAGTCACTTTGTGAGATCTTTTTGAAATTCTTCACAGTCTGCTTTGGTCTTAACTACCTTGAGCAGTTTAGTATTGTCTGCAAAGTTTGCCACCTCCCTGTTTACCCCTTTCTCCAGATCATTAATTAATACATTGAATAGGATTGGTCCCAGGACTGACCCTTGGGGTACACCACTAGTTACCCCTCTCCATTCTGAAAATTTACCATTTATTCCTACCCTTTGTTTCCTGTCTTTTAACCAGTTCTCAATCCAAGAAAGGACCTTCCCTCTTATCCCATGGCCATGTAATTGACACAAGAGCCTTTGGTGAGGGACCTTGTCAAAGGCTTT